AATGCCATGTGCATCTCAATGAATGAGAGCACTGGATTAAAGGCAGTCCGAAATGAGTAACTAAAACTGGTGTTCTCATTGTAGAGCAAGCTCTTGAGATATAGAATGATCAGTCCGAAGATATTGCTCGGAACTTGGACGATGTCATCTGGATCGATTCTTTCAAATCGACGTCGCCTATGGCGGAAATCCATCTTCGGAGATGCGAATTTTCCCACGCAATCGTCATGTGCCCTTTTGCCAAGATGAGGCCATTTTAAACGGCCCAGCTGCACGGAAAAATTCTGTGACAGAATTCGCCAAAACAATAAACACAAAAACTGGTAGCCTCAATTAACGGTAGACGGCGCCATGGCAGATGTTTGGTTTGCAAAAAACAACATTTTTTGGTCGGTGTCAGATTTGGCAAGTGTTTTGCCGATTTGTCGCTCATTTACTCTGCCATCATCTGAGGCGTTTTGCTGCAATTTAAAGNTTCGGAGATGCGAATTTTCCCACGCAATCGTCATGTGCCCTTTTGCCAAGATGAGGCCATTTTGAAACGGCCCAGCTGCACGGGAACATTCTGTGACAGAATTCGCCAAAACAATAAACACAAAAACTGGTAGCCTCAATTAACGGTAGACGGCGCCATGGCAGATGTTTGGTTTGCAAAAAACAACATTTTTTGGTCGGTGTCAGATTTGGCAAGTGTTTTGCCGATTTGTCGCTCATTTACTCTGCCATCATCTGAGGCGTTTTGCTGCAATTTAAAGGTAAGAAGAGTAAAAGCTAAGATAACAAAATGCTGATTTCAGTTTGTTTCAGGAGCAGTTTCAACGACAAAAAACGTTTATGGGCGTTTGTGAGCGACTCCAACTTTATCCCCAACTGATCTCACAACTTGCTTTTATTGAAAACATCTCAACATCAGCAACAACAACACCAACATCATGTCTAAAGTTAGCATTGAAGCGCTAGAGAAAGAGGGCTACCAGACGGCACTGAAGCAGGTGTCCAATATGCTCCAGCGACCAGACCAACTGGAAAAGATTGAGCACTACAAAAGGCGTGTCAAACGGAATATTGTGAGTAATGGGCCGATTTTTGTTTGTACCACCTTCTAAACGTTATTTTTGCAAACATTCAGAACTCCAAAGAAGGCATGCTAAAGACTGCAATGCAGACGCAGCTGGACGGCGTCAAGACTGGCCTGATTCACCTGAAAACCGCCCAACAGGACATTAGTGACATTAAAAAGATTGTCCATGAAATAGAAGAACTATTCCCGACAATTCCCGTGCTTGTCGACAAGCTGAAGTACGTCAGAGAGGAGTCGATGAAGCACAGTCAGTACGCAGTGTCCATGGAGAACTTGAAGCACATCTTCAACGTTCCCGAAACGGTGGCCAAAACGAGAGACCTCATCGCCGATGGGAAGCTCCTTGAGGCGCACAAAAACCTGTCCGAGCTGGAGAACTCCCGTGATAACCTGCTGTACCAGCTGCATCGACTGGCGCCGACAAACAATGCGGATAAGAACATGCTGAAGCACTACTACGGCGAGGTGGAGAAGCTCTCTGAAGAGCTGGGCAAGCAGCTCTGGCTGCTCATCCGCCTGACGCTCAACTCGGTGCGAAAGGAGCCCTCGGTGATTGTGACGGCGCTGAGAATCATCGAGCGAGAGGAGCGGACCGATCAGAATGCCGCCCGGCGCTGTGAACAGAGCGGCTTCATGTCCATTGGCCGTCCGAAGAACTGGCGAAAGCGGGTGTTTGAGATTCTGGAGGAGGCGGTGGCGGAGCGAATTCAGGGGAACAAGTTCCACGACCGGTCGGACAATAAGATGTGGCTGGTGCTGCACCTGGAGATGACGCGCAAGATCATCCTCTCCGACCTGCAGGTGGTCAAGTACGCCTGCGTCTCCTGCTTCCCGCCCGGCTACGACATTCTCCGGCGGATGCTGCACATGTACCACAACTGCCTGAGCAGCTACCTCTGCGAGCTGGTGTCCACGCTGGAGGGCAACGAGTACATCACACTGCTCAACTGGCTCAACGACTACGAGGGACCGCTGCTGATGGGCCACGAGGACCTGCGCTTCAACCTGCAGGAGGAGCAGCTGGGACCGCTGCTGTCGGATGAGATCGTCAACGAGGTGACGAACAAGTACCTGCAGACGGTGGAGAAGAACTACCGCGAGTGGCTGGCGAACACCATTCGCCACGAGTCGAAGGACTGGGAGAGCGTCAGCAATCCAGAGTCGAGCAACACTGGCCACTACCAGACGACGACGCCGGTCATTGTCTTCCAGATGATTGACCAACATGTAAGTAGTAGATGATGCAATTTCTATCTTCATTTTTATTAAACTGACCCCTTTCCATTTCTATTTCTAGCTGCAAGTGGCGAGCTCCGTCAGCATGACCCTGGTGGAGCACGTGCTGCTGATTAGCACGAAGCACCTGACGGAGTTTGCCAAGCAGTACAAGGAGGCGGTCAATCGATATGCGAAGGCGCACTTTGAGAATCGCTCCTTTCACTTTACGCCCAACATGATCGCCATCTCGAACAACTGCGCCAGTCTGATTGACAATGCGCTCAAGTTTCAGAAAGACTACAAAAAGGACGACAAGAATCAGATTGAACTGGACAAGGCCTTCAGTCAGGTGGTCAGCTCTTTCAACAGTCTGAAGAAGCAGAGCATCGGCTACCTGATCAAAGAGATCTTCATGGACGTCGACAAGGAGATCAGCAAGGTCGGTTCGCAGGAGTGGCTCGAAGGGGCGGCCAGTATTATTGAGAACGTCTGCCTCACACTGGAGGACTACTTCCGGGACTACATCTACCTGAAGGAGAGTAATGCCGATGAGCTGAAAGTGCAACTGCAGAAGGCACTCGCCAAGGCCTACATTCAGGCGATTATGTCTCGGTATGCTTTCTATGAGGGGTTTCTGTCAGCCTTATTTGACATCTATTTTTCAGTGACAAGAAGGTGCCACTACGAAACCAATCGGATCGCGAACGATACGCCAACAAGTGCATCCAGGAGGCTCGCATCTTGGACAATGCCATAGACAAGTTGCCGTCGCCTTCGAGAGGAT